CAGTCCTTAGGCATAGACAAAACCTCCCACCCAGACTCGTGAATTTTGTTCTTACTACTCTCAGAATCCCACTAGAACTTAGCAATCTCCCTACATATATCATGGCAAAGAGACACAGACAGTTTAAAACAAGACATCACATAAGTGGGGAGTGCTTTCAAAATGGATTTAATAAGAGTTTCCCTCCCAGCCTCACTCAAGAAACAATTTTTCCATCTACTCACTCTGCTCACCACATAATCAGTAATAAACATGAATGTTTCCTTCTTGGATTTCCCAATACCTAAAGGAAGGCCCAGGTATTTGAAAGTCGTCACTCTAGAAATCCCATTCAACACATAGCATATATCATTTTGCAAGTTTTCAGGAGCCACTACAAGAATAATAATTTTTAGTGACGATAATGTTTGTCGCTATGTGTTCGAATATCGTCACAATATCATTTTGTGTCAACCACACAAGTCGTTGCTAGGTCGTGGTTGCAAGTACCGTGACTAAAGATTTTAGCGATGACTACCATCATCACTAGATACCAATTTTTAGTCACATTAAGTATTGTCACTAACAATCAATTTTTTGTTACATACATTGGTCGTAACTATAACTTTATAATATAGTGACTAATTAGTTTGTCAGTACATTTGAAACATTTAGTCACAAATGTTATTGTCACAATAATGTCTTGTAGTCACTTACGATTTTTTATTGTTGTCACTAAAATTAAATGTTAGTCACATAAGATGTAGTTCAATAGCCACAAGTGAGTTATGTCACTTGAACATAGTATCTTTTGTAACATACAATTTAATTTAGTTATATAGCCACATACATCATTGTCACAAGATCCCAATAACTATTGTCACGAACCCAATACCTATTGTCACAAGTTAATTTTTTTATAGAAGAAATGTACCAATGCTCGTCACAAATCTAAAAATAATCAATACTTCATTATTCTAATTATATTTTATATATGTTGGCCACATCAAAAATTAGTTTATTTCATATATAAATAACATAGAAAAAAAACTGAAAACATATATTCATTCATCCGAAGGAAATGCATAAAGTTAAAACCTTGTTTAAACAACAAGATGTTCTATCCAAAAAACTTAGAGCTAAATTGTCAACAATAAACTTAGTTTATTGTGACAACAAGAAACTAACACTAATATCTTTGTCGTACTATTAATGATGACTTCGTAAATTGTCACTATCACAAATGACATTAGAGACGACTCTTATTTTCCACGAGGATATGCGTCAACAAAGAAATATTTAGTGACAAAGAATATTGTCAAAAAATAAACTTGTCACTAATAACTACCAGTTCAATAATTAATCACATGAGACAATATTGTCACTATGTACATGGTTATAGTTATGATATTAATGTCGTCACTAAAGTAATTGTCACTAATAATGTTTATTCTTGTAGTGAGCATTTTTGGAAAAAAAAATATAGAAGATTTGTCAAGATTGACCAACTAGCATGAGGCATCACCATAGTGTTCAAGAATCTGAAGAAGAATGCTAGCATGGTGAATATCAGCTTTACAAAAGACAATAGAGTCATCAGCAAAGAACAGTTGGGACAACAACATGGGCAAATTTACCAATCTTTAACCCAGAAAACAATTTCACATTACAAGATTGTTTGATTATGTTAGAAAAGGCCTCAGAAATCATAACAAAAAGGTAAGGAGAAAAGGGGTCACCTTGTCTCAGACCTCTTGTAGGGACAACATAACCCAAAATAGAACTTTGCATATTAAAAGCAAATGATGAAGAGCATACACAAGCAATTATCCAAGAAATGAAAACAGAACAGAAGCCCATTTTGGTAAGAACTTTAGCTAAGAAATTACATTCAACACGGTCATAAGCCTTTGCCATATCAAGTTTAATAGCCGTAAATTTAAGTTTGTCGTACCTATTGTTATTTAGGAAATGGATACACTCATTTGCTATACCACATTGTCAATTATTTGTCTACCAGGAATAAAAGCAGACTGAGCTTTCTCAATACAATAATGCAGCACAGATTTGAGCTTGTTAGCAAGTATCTTAGCAATGATTCTATGGATAATAGTGCATAAACTGATAGGCCTGTAATCAGAAACAAATTGAGGATTTTTTTTTAGGGATTAGGGTTAATACTATATGGTTAAGGTTTTTAAGCATTTTAAATCTATGAAAGAAATTTTTAACAGCAGCACTCAAATTTAATGGAGGGCCAAGTAGTTTGGAAAATAGCAGGGGACATCCCACCATACCCAGGAGCTTTATGTTGGTCCATGTCCTATAAGCCAGTATTAATCTCATTCTCAGTAACCTCTCTGACTAATGACCTGATCATCTCCACATTTATAGACAAAAGAATACCAGAAAGGTCACAGTTATCCACCAAAGGATTGGAAGATTTAAACAATGTTGTAAAGTATCAAACCAGCTCATCAACAGTTTCAAGATTATTAGAACACCTATTTTCATCTGCATTCACTAGACTATGCAAGCTATTCACGTTCCTTCTCTATCTCACACTAGCTTGGAAGAATCTAGTGTTCTTGTCCCCATCGTTTAACCAACTAACCCTAGCTTTCTGCTGCCAAAAGTCACCTTCTAACTTATAAGCCCTATGCAACTTATCCCTAAATAAAGCCCACCCATCCCAATTACATCTTATGCAATCAATATGGTGATCCATATGCAATCAAATCGTTATGTACTATTTATTTTAACCAATAATCAAATTTTAAAATATAATACCATTAGTTAACTTATAATTTTAATATTATATTCATAAATACATGTTTAAAGTATAATATTATTATCTTTTTTTTTTCGAAACGATAGAGAATATATATAACAAACGCACAAAAGTGCAAAGGTACAACCCAAGGTTGAATAAATTTAATATTATCTAACTTATAAATTTAATATTGTTTACTTACAAATAACTTATATTATTTTATTTACATCTGTGCAAATGCACCGGGTCACAGTGATCTTATATTAACATAAGATAGACCATAAACTTCAATAATGACTTCGTAATAGTGAAGTTTACATATGACTAAGAATGTCATAATATTATATTCAAATTCTTCTCCTCTCAAATGTTTCAACAAATTATATATGCTTCTCAATATTGTCTCATTGTTGTTTTCTTTTGTCATTTTTTAAGAATCAAGAAATGTTATCTTGAATTTCAAAGCATTATGTATGATGCAAAAATATGGAGAATAAAAGCATTAAAGAAGTTGTTAGGCACATAAATATTGCAAATTCGACAGAATATGAAAGATATTATGATGAACAACTCAAAAATTATTGCAATAACCAAGATAGTCAATGATTTACAAACAACAGATTATGAAGTTCGTCTAACCTCCAAATAAATAACATTGAAGGGGAATGTCGGATCCTAATCAAAACATTTTTGAATTTTTGAATGAAGTTTCCACTTTTTTATATGAATATTTGCAATCTCATTGGTATTGTGCGCGAACATATGCGTAATTACTTTAGAGTACAAACTTTCATGTAATGTATGATGATTTTATAAAATAATTTAGCGTCTTGTGAGAAGCACAAGTAACTAAGATTTTAGAAAGTCAACTTTTATTTGAAAATGAAATTCCTTCCCACTCTATGAGGCGATAATCTCCATGGGGTAGGTAGCGATTTGTCTATATGGAAAGATAATAATGTTAGAGTTTTTACAATGATAAAAAAATGTCAGCAATTATGATGGCACGGTTGGTTATTTCATAGAGATATTCACAAACGGTTAGTAGAAATCTATATCTATATGATGGTTTAATCTTTATTGCTATAATTGACATATATGCGGGCGGGAAAATATTTTCATCTAAATTTAGCATATAATTTACCATTATCTATTAGCAGTTTTTATATTGAACATTAATTATCTTTTTTTACTCAATATTCATTAGTTATAAATTGACTTATATAGAATATTGATCGATTACATATATTTTCAATAAGATCATAACATTAATTTCATAATAATTTGTTGACACAATTAAAAAATGAAATAATTATGGAAAAATAATTAATTATACTATCATCTCATGGTTGTATATATTAATTTTATTAAATTATGACCGATCAGAAGCACTTAAAATATATAATAAATAACTAGAATTATTGTGTTTGCAACCATATCAACTTAATGTATAATACAATATTCATAAAATTTGCTAAAAGTATTGTTAATTTAACCATAAAAAAGAATAAACTGTATTGGGAATAATATTGAAAAAAATAAATTTAATATCTTATTAAAATTATTATTTGATGGTTCGGTGAAATTAAGAATTTAAGTTTCACTTTAGAAATATCTATATACAAGAAAAAACGTTTCAAGTTGTAAAAAAATATAATTTTTATTATATACTATTTGATAAAGGAAAACGATTAAATAAAATGGTATATTCAAATATCATAATTAAAATTATAGCATTAAGAATTGAAATATATAATTTATCTAAATATTTAAGTTGGATATTAATGCACTCATTATATATGTTGACAAGTGAACTAAAAAATAAATATAGAAAAAAATTAAACATAAACATAAAATAATTTATTATGAAAAAAATTTGTTGTACAAGAGATAAAAAAGTTAGTTATGGAGAAATAGGCAAACTATGAAATATTAAAAAAGTAATAGGACCAAGATAACAGGTAGTTTTATGTACATGTCAATAGTTTGTATGCAAATATTATAATTTAAATCTCAAATATACATAATAGTTTATTAACTATAAATAGTGAAATTTATGTTAAATAGTCATGACCTACAAAAATAAATTAAAAAATAAAAATATCCAAATAAACTTTATGTTATTACAGACTTGATATATTATGTCGAATAGAGTTAGAATATTATCTCAAGTAATTTAATTTTTTCAATAATAATACTATAATTACAATATATCGTGTGCATCGTACAGGTATCAATGCTAGTGTCATATAAAGATCATACTAAAAAGAATTTTACAGTACTACTGATGTATCGGATTCCAATGGGTATTTTTTATGAGACCGTTAAATCAAAATGAAAGAAAATCACTCTTGAATTATCTAACATAAATAAATAAATAAAAACTAATGCATCTATAATATACACAGGTCTTATTTAGTTACTTATTTTTTTACATAAAAACTAATGCTTGAATTCCACGATTTTCAAGTTTTCTGATTTAGATTTTTTTTTTTTTTCAATTGTCAAGCACTCAAGCTTACATTTTAGCACGCAGAATAAATCTCTATTCATACTGATCAACTTTGAACTGGTAAATTTTCAACTAACATGGGAGATTCTACTGACACAC